CAGCCTTGTCGTGTCCCTTTCTCTATCTTAATTTCCTCTGTTATCACATTATTAACTATTAATTTAGCTTTTTGTTCTGAATAAATTGCATTTATACCATTTTCAAACTCTTGGCCTACCCCCATCCCCTGAAGATTTTTCTTCATAAAACTCCAAGAAATATTGTCAAAGGCTTTCTCTGCATCCACAAAAATCAAAACTGCTTTAGTGTTGATCTCCTCTTGCAGCTTCTCCAGAATATCAATTATGTTCCTTGTGTTGTCCGAAAGATGTCTATCTGGAAGAAAGCCAGCTTGGTCCTTATGAATCACTCCTTTTAAGCCTTTTTGCTAAAATGTCAGCAAAAATTTTGTAATCCACATTTAACAGGGATATGGGCCGGTAGTTCTTAAGCTGTGTCTTTTCAGTCTCAGCCTTTGGTATAAGTGTAATAAATGCGTCCTTCCACGACTCTGGCGCTCTTTTCCCCTCTAAAATTTCATTACAAACCTCAGTTAATGGTCGAATTAGCCAGTCTTTCAAAGTTCTGTAATATTTTGAGGTTAAACCATCCGGTCCTGGAGATTTTCCCAACTGCATATTCTGAATGGCACCTTCAACCTCCTGTTCTGTAATTTTATAATTCAACAATATCTTGTTATCCTGAGAAATTTTTGTAATCCATTGGTTTTCAGAAATTGCTCTATTTCAAATTCTTTCTGAGGCCCTTGTGTGTATAATTGTTTAAAATATCTCTGGAAGCATTTCCTAATTTCTTCTGGATTCTGGATATTTTTCCCTTCCACTTCCAAATTAGTAATAGTATTAAGTTTTTGTCGTTTCTTCAACTGCCAAGCCAGCAATTTCCCACATTTATTTGCCGATTCAAAAGTCTTTTGTCTCATTTGTTTAATTTTCCATTCCACTTCTTGATTTATCAATTTCATATACTGCACTTGGTACAATTTTATTTCCCTCAGAGTCTCTTGTGAGTTGGGCTTCACTCTCAGTTTCTTCTCGCCCTCCTTTATTTTTTCCAAAATTTTTTTCTTTCTTTACGTTTTGGGCCTTCTTCTTAATTGAATTCTGTTGAATCAGGAAGCCCCTCATAACAGCTTTGCTTGCGTCCCAGATTACTCTTTTTCTACAGCTGTATTCAAGTTTATCTCAAAATAGTCCCTCAATGTCTTTTGGGCCTTCTTAATCACCTCTTGATCTCTAAACAAGGTGTCATTCATCCTCCATCGGAAGGAACCAATAGATGTTAACTTCATCTCCATTCTCACGGCGTTATGGTCGGAGCATGTTTTTGGGCAGATCTCTACCTTCTTAACCTTGGGTGCCAGTCCTCTAGTAGTCCAGATTTGGTCAATTCTTGTCCATGTCTTTTGGGCTTCAGAAAAGAAGGTTCCTTCTCTATCAAGGGGGTTCTTAGTTCTCCAAATGTCAATCAAATCCATATTGTCAGTTAGTTCAAAGAATGTTTTCGGTAGTCTACCATCTTTAGTAACTACCTCTCTTTGTGACTTGTCCATATTTGTGGAAACCACCCCATTCATATCTCCCATGAAAACAGTGTTATAGTCCATATAGTCCATCAAGATCTCATGCAACTTTTTGTAAAATATAGATTTCCCCTCATTTGGTGCATATATACCTACTATCAAAAATTTTTCTCCTTGTACTTGAATTTCAATTGCTATGAACCTTCCTTGTTCATCCTTAAAGACGAATTTTGGTGAGAGGCTCTCCTTTGCGTAAATAACCACTCCTCGTTTTTTAACTTTATCTGATGAAATAAATTCTTGACCCAGTCTCTTATTAATCAATATTTTCCTGTGAAGCCTCATCACATGAGTTTCCTGTAAACAAATTAAGTCCAATTGTTCTTTTTTAAGTATATGAAATACTTTCCTCCTTTTTTCCGGAGAATTCAGACCACAAACATTCCAAGTTAAAAGTTGCAGAGCCATGATGATTTCTTTATTTCCCTCCAACTGCTCCCAATAACTCTTCTTCCTCTGTTGGTGGTTTCGCCTTCTCTGTCTTATCCTCTCCCAACGGTGGTAGTGTAGGATCCAATCCTGTTAAAGGGGCTTCTGGCTCCTCCCCCAATCCTTTTTGTAGGTCCTCTTGGTAGTCTCTCAAGAAGTTCTGTTTCTCCTCCACAGATTTTATTTTAATTTTCTTGCCTTTAAAACTGAAAGATAGGCCTTGAGGAAACTCCCACCTGAAAAAAATTCTATTTCCTCTCAGCAACGTCACCAGGTCCCGATAGTTAGACCTAAGCTCCAAAAGGAGCTTTGGAATATCTTTGAATATTTCTATCCTTGAGTCTTGTATTATCAGTGTATTTCGATAGTGTAGGCTCAAAATTTTATCTCGTTCCTCCTTCGATCGCAAGGTAATCAGGCAGTCTCTCACTCTATTTTTTCTTGCTCTTCTTCCAAGCCTGAAAGCAGACGTTATCTTGAAATCTTCCTTATCATTCAATTGCCAAAAGTTGGCAAATTCTTGTGTCAAAAAGTCTACCAGGCTCTCTTTCTCAATCTCAGGTACTGCTCTGATCCTTAAATTGGTCTGTTTCTCCTTTAACTCAAGGACAGATAGCAATTCCTGGTGCGTTCCCAATCTTATATGGTGCTCTTCAACTTGTTTAATTAAAGGTGGTAATTTTTCTTCAGCAGCTACCGCCTTTTCTCTAGCTTCCAAAGCTGTTTTTTTTGGGTTTCAGCAGATTGTTCCAGTAGTTTTTAATCACATCTGTATTTTCATTAGTCTGTCGAGTCAACTTGTCAATACTTGCAGAATTTTGTCTAATAGCTTCTAGATGCCTCGGCATGCTGTTGACCCAATTTTTCAAAACCTTCATTCACAATTTTAAATAAACTGGCCAATCCTTCTTCCTCTCCTTGTGGCCCAGCGATGGATGGCCTACGCTGTTGCTGTTGTGCAATGTTGCTCTGCTGCCTGCCTTTCCCAGACCTCAGGTCTCTTCCTTCCATGGCACTTTATCTGAAAGTCAAGGTCACTCTCACAGTCGAAGTTGTTTTGCTATTGTGCTTTCCCAGGCTGCTGTTGAGTGGAAAATTCCTCGGTCAATTAGAGACTTTTTCCCCTTTGGCCTCCAGGGGGACACAAGTAATAAAGTATCAAGAATAAAAACTCTCAAACAGCCAAAGAGGCAACTTTTTCCCAAAGTTTCAATTTTGTAAAGTTAGTAGGCAAGAAGATACATTGTCCATTTAGAGTGCTAACAAAGTGTCCAATCTTTCCAAACCTGGCAGTCTGTCCCCAGGGATTGAGAGGTGGTCTTTGTTTCCTTATTTACTCTTTAAATTACACAAAAATAACAGGAAATAACAAGAAATACTGTCTCTTCTTCCCCCCCTAGTCCAATTATGGGAGGGAAAATCTTTAAATTAGACGTCTGTGTTTCAGTCTCTTTTGGCAGTCATTGGTATCGAACTCACACAGTCTTTGCTTTAATCTTTATACAGACCGGAAGGTGGACTTCCTTTTTACACCTTCCCGCTTCAGCCAAATTAGTTCAAAAATTTTAGTTGATCCTTATAACGTCAAACCTACTCACGGGTTGTAATTTTGACAGCCGAATTGTCAAGGAAGAAAGGTCAGCGCTCTCCAGCAACAGCCGCACGGCTTCACTCCGCGAAAGTAGCAGAAGACTCACAGTGCCGCGCCACCCCCGTCCTGCTTCGGAGCCCTCGCGGGGTTCCTACGCTGTTTAGGGGCGCGCTCCAGGCACCCGCCGAGTCCCACGACCGCAGGCTTCCTCCGCCTGCGGGTTTCAAAGGGGTCTCCGCTGCGCCGTAGCGGATCGACCCGATTTTCGCGGAGCCTCTCCTCTGAAGTTACGAGGAGATCGCCATTGCTTGTTGGCGCCACCTCCGGAAGTCGCTTCTTTCCTCTCCCTCGCCAGGGGTCACTTTGATGGGCGCCAAGTGGCAGTGAAGCGGCTGCTTCCCGAGTGCATCCACCTGGTGGATCGGGAGGTGCAGCTGCTGCGTGAGTCGGATGAACACCCCAACGTGGTGCGCTACTTCTGCACAGAGATGGACAGGCAGTTCCACTACATCGCCATCGAGCTGTGCTCTGCCACGCTGCAGGAGGTGAGCTGCGGGGAGGAAGAGGGGTGTGGGGAGGAGAGGGCTATCAATGACTCCTAGCCAGGATGGCTACGCTCTGCCTCAGCAGTCGGAGGCAGCCGTGCTTCTCAATACCAATTTCTGGGCACATGCGGGGGTCCCTGGCTGTCCTTTCCATCTGGGCATCTTTGCCACACATGGCCTGGATGATGATGAAGATGGTGATGGTGATAACAACAACAACTTATTACTTATGCTCCACCCACCCATCTGGCCGGGCCTCCTCAGCCACTCTGGGTTGCTCCCAACAGAACATTAAAAACACAATAAAACATCAAACATAAAAACTTCCCTAAACGGGGCTGGCCTTCAGATGTCTTCTAAAAGTCAGATAGTTGTTTATTTGCTTGACATCTGATGGGAGGGCGTTCCGCAGGGAGGGTGCCACTACTGAGAAGGCCCTCTGCCTGGTTCCCTGTGGCATCACTTCTTGCAGTGAGGGAACTGCTAGAAGGCCCTTGGAGCTGGACCTCAGTTTCCGGGCTGAACGATGGGGGTGGAGATGCTCCTTCAGGTATACTGGACTGAGGCCATTTAGGGCTTTCAAGGTCAGCTCGGAAACATACTGCGAGCCAATACGTCTTTTAGGACTGGTGTCATATGGTCTTGGTGGCCACTCCCAGTCACCAGTCTACCTGGATTCTGGATTAGTTGTAGTTTCTGGGTCACCTTCAAAGGTAGCCCCACTACAGAAACAGCAGGGTGATGGGAACTTCATCTCCGTTCATCCTCTGGAGTAATGAGAACTGAGGTGCTGCCACTGTCCAAGGCCAGTTGGATGGGCTCCTTCTGTTCTCTGTTTGTGATGGTATCTTGGGGGACTTAACCACACACACACAGGTGTCATCTTGCACGGATTGGATAGCTCAGTTGGTAAAGCATGAGATACTTTATCTCAGGGCTGTGGGTTTGAGCTCCATGTTGGGCAAAAAGATTCCTTTTTGCTAACATTACAAAGGAAAACCCTGCTTTCTGGCCATATTAGAAACAGTATATTTTTTGACTTGTATCCCTACCAACAAAAATATTTGGGATGGGGCAGGGGAGCAGAAGTTAAAAGTGGTGTCCCTTTTAAAAGCCCGAGTCTGTATACTGAAAAGTAAACTTTGATGAAACCGTGAGTACAGTACATGGCTTGCTTTGCTTTTTCAAGTTCTCTGGTTGCAATTTGAGTCCCTCCAAAATGTTATTTGTTTGGTTTGTAAGGAATGGGTTCATCTCTGTGCTCTGAGTTGGGCAGTGCCTTTAAGGTTATCTTTCTGAGACTAAGTTTAATCACATATTTATGATTCGCACAGGGCCCACTGGCCAGGTGGTGGCAGAACCTCCCTCCTTGGCTCCCCAGCGAAGTCATTCTTTTTTTTTTTTATATAATTTTTTATTGATTTTACAAACAAGTTTTATACAATACAAACAAATAAAAAGACATACAAACATGTATAATTTCATAACCTTTTTTCATAACCCTCTCTTCTCGGACTCCCCCAAACCTCCCCTTCCTACATCCCAATTCCCAAAATTATTTCAGCAAATTCTAAATAATTTTATCAAATATATTTTTCTTATTTTTTTTTTCTTCAACTTAATCTTATGTCGCTGTAATCTCCTTTTCTTTCTCCAAACCTCGACATTTTAACATTCCTCAATTTTATGATAGTTCTTTAGATAGATTTTAAATTTCTTCCAATCTTCTTCCACCGTCTCTTTCCCCTGCTCACGGATTCTGCCAGTCATCTCCGCCAATGTCATATAGTCTATAACCTTCATCTGCCACTCTTCCAAGGTGGGTAGTTCTTCTGTCTTCCAATACTTTGCGATGAGTATTCTTGCTGCTGTCGTAGCATACATAAAAAAAGTTCTGTCTTTCTTTGATACCAATTGGCCGGCAATGCCCAAGAGAAAGGCCTCTGGTTTCTTCAGGAAAGTACATTTAAGTACCTTTTTAATTCATTATATATCATTTCCCAGAAAGCCTTAATCTTTGGGCACGTCCACCAAAGGTGATAAAAAGTACCTTCAGTTTCTTTACACTTCCAACACTTATTATCAGGCAAATGATAAATTTTTGCTAGCTTGACTGGAGTCATGTACCACCTATAGATCATTTTCATAATATTTTCCTTTATGGCATTACATGCCGTAAATTTTATACCGGTGTTCCACAACCATTCCCAGTCAGCAAACATAATGTTATGACCAATGTCCTGTGCCCACTTAATCATAGCTGATTTAACTGTTTCATCTTGTGTATTCCATTTCAGCAGCAAATTATACATTCTTGACAAGTTCTTAGTATTGGGTTCTAACAGTTCAGTTTCTAATTTTGATTTCTCCACCTGGAAGCCAATTTTCCTGTCTTGTTTATACACCTCCATTATTTGATAATAATGGAGCCAATCTCGTACTTTGGGTTTCAATTTCTCATAGCTCTGTAGCTTTAACTTATCTCCATCTTGTTCCAAAATTTCCCGATACTTTAGCCATTCGGCTTCCATATTAAGCTTTTTCAACGCCGTGGCTTCCAAAGGTGACAACCATCTAGGAGTCTTACTTTCCACCAAATCTTTATATCTTATCCAAACATTATATAATGCTTTCCTGACAATATGATTTTTAAAGGCCCTATGCACCTTGATTTTATCATACCATAAATATGCATGCCAACCAAATGTATTGTTAAAACCTTCTAAGTCCAAGATGTCTGTATTCTCGAGGAGCATCCATTCTTTCAGCCAGCAAAAAGTTGCTGCTTCATAATACAGTTTTAAGTCCGGCAGGGCAAACCCCCTCTTTCTTTTGCATCCGTCAGTATTTTAAATTTTATTCTGGGTTTTTGCCCTGCCAGACAAATTTCGAAATATCCTTCTGCCACCTCTTAAAACAGTCTATCTTGTCTAGAATTTGTAATGTTTGGAACAAGAATAACATTCTGGGCAATACATTCATCTTAATAACTGCAATTCGGCCTAACATTGACAATTTCAAATTTGACCATATTTCTAGATCTTTTTAATTTCCGACCAACATTTTTCATAATTGTCTTTATACAGGTTCAAATTTTTAGATGTCAAATAGACCCCTAGGTATTTCACCTTCTTTACCACTGTCAAACCTGTTTCATTCTGAAACTTCTCCTTTCCATGACTGTTAAATTTTTTCCAAGACTTTAGTCTTTTGTTTATTCAATTTAAATCCAGCTACCTGGCCAAATTCTTGGATTAGCTCCAACACCCTTTTTGTACTAGTGTCTGGCTCTTGTAAAGTAAGTACTAAATCATCTGCAAAGGCCCTTAACTTGTAATGTTTAGCTCCGACCTGTACACCTTTAACCTGCTGGTCATCTCTAATCATATTTAGCAACACCTCCAGAACAGAAATAAAAAGTAATGGGGAGATAGGGCACCCCTGTCGTGTCCCTTTTTCTATTTTAAATTCTTCAGTTATCACATTATTTACAATCAATTTAGCTTTTTGTTCAGTGTATATGGCACCCATACCATTCTCGAATCCTTGGCCTACCCCCATCCCATGAAGATTCTTTTTCATAAAACTCCAAGAAATATTGTCAAAGGCTTTCTCCGCATCTACAAAGATCAGAACTGCTTTAGTGTTTATATTCACCTCTAATAATTCCAAAATGTCTATTATGTTCCTCACATTGTCTGATAAATGTCTTTTAGGGAGAAAGCCTGCTTGGTCCTTATGAATCTTCTCCATCAACACTCTTTTCAATCTTTTTGCCAAAATGTCTGCAAAGATTTTGTAATCCACATTAAGTAATGATATTGGGCGGTAGTTCTTAAGTTGATTCTTTTCAATCTCTGTCTTTGGTATGAGTGTAATGTACGCTTCTTTCCACGATTCTGGTGCCCTTTTCCCCTCTAAGATCTCATTACAGACTTCCTTTAATGGTTGTACCAACCATTCCTTCAAAGCCTTATAATATCTGGAAGTCAATCCATCTGGTCCTGGAGATTTGCCCAGTTGCATGTTTTGAATGGCACCCTCTATCTCTTGATCTGTTATTCTCTGATTTAGATCCACCTTACTTTGGTGAGAGATTTTTTGTAGTCCATACTTTTTCAGAAATTCTTCTATATCCTCCTCCTTCTGTGGTCCTTGTGAATATAATTTTTTAAAATAACTCAAAAAACAATTTCTTATCTCGTTAGGTTTAGTTATATTCTTTCCATCCACTTCTAGGCTTGTAACTGTGTTTAGTTTCTGCCTTTTCTTCAATTGCCAAGCCAGAAGTTTACCACATTTATCTGCAGATTCAAATGTCTTTTGTCTCATTTGTTTTATCTTCCATTCAATCTCTTGATTCATCAATTCCATGTATTGTGTCTGATATAACTTAATCTCTCTCAAAATCTCCTGGGACTTTGGTTTTGATCTCAATTTCTTCTCTCCTTCTTTTATCTTTTCCAAGATCTTGTCCTTCTTCTCATTTTGCTTTCTCTTTTTTACTGAATTTTGTTGAATTAGAAATCCTCGCATCACTGCTTTGCTTGCGTCCCAGATCACTCTTTTTTCTACATCAGTTTTTAGATTTATTTCAAAATAGTCCTTTAAACCCCAGCGAAGTCATTCTGCCCCGTTTTTCTTTCCCCCCTCTTAGTATGTGGAGAGCCCCACTTTCAACCGGCAAAATCTGGATCCCGTCTCGCTGCTGCATCAAACCATGTCTGGGTTGGCTCATTTGCACTCCCTCAACATAGGTAAGGGCAAGCCCTCCTACCCGCACACCTGAAGACAGGTGGTGGTGTTCCTAGGTGACCCATCAAAGGGCACAGGAACCTAGAAAGTTGCCTGGTCCACTTAACTCAGTATTGTCACCACTGACTGGCAGCAGCAGTAACTCTCCAGGATTTCCGGCAGGAGTCTCTCCCAAACCTACTTAGAGAGGCTGTTGGGGATTGAACCTGGGGCTGTACCCAGAGGGCCAGCTGCCTCCCCACTCCATTCGATCAACACTCTGTTTGTCTTCTCAGTCCACCGTGACCTGAAGCCCTGCAACATCCTGATCTCAGCCCCAAACAGCCACGGGAAGATCCGCGCCATCATCTCCGACTTCGGCCTGTGCAAGAAGCTGCAGAGGGGGCGGCGCAGTTTCAGCCTCCGCTCCGGCATTCCGGGCACCGAGGGGTGGATTGCGCCCGAGGTGCTGAGGGAGGACCCAAAAGAGAACCCCGTGAGTAGCGTCCACTTGCCCAGGCTCCTGTGTTTACGATGCAGGCAGGGCGAAGCAGCTCATGCGGATCACGAGGTTCTCTGCTGCGGAGGTTGGGGGTGCCACAGGCCTGCTGGAGACCTAACCTGGCCTGGGATGGGTGGTGGTGGGGAAGCAAAGGGTCTGGCTTTGGGAGCAAAGAAAGAGGCAGTTTCCCACAGGACTCCTTTTGTCTCCGGCAGACGAGTGCAGTGGACATCTTCTCGGCCGGCTGCATATTTTATTATGTCGTGTCCAGCGGGCAGCATCCCTTTGGAGACGGCTTTCACCGCCAGGCAAACATCCTCACCGGGGCCTACCAGCTGGCGCATCTCCAACAGGAGACACATGGTAAGGAGCACCACCCACTATCTTATGTGGGGCAGGTGGGCAGGGGGGCACGTCTGCTAACAGAGAGAAGCATCTCTGACTCCTCCTCCTTTGTGCATGGAGAGAGTTTGACCTACCCTCTGCCCTGCAGGCTTCATTTGCAGCCAAGCTCACCTGGAGGACAGGTGAGAATGGATCTAGCTATCAGGTTGAAGCTACAGACCGTGATGTCCCTGATCCAAACCTTGCCTCTGCTCTGCAGACTCAGCAGCTGGCTTTAAGCAAGTCGCTCTCAATCTCAGCCCCACCCATCTGCAAAGTGTTGATAATGTCCGGGATACCTTGCATGGGTATTGTAAGCTTAACCAGGAATGTATGGGAAGGGC